AACATACATAGATATAAATACGTTTAAAGATTAAGAGGACACCATGGCCAATGCCACCGCTTCCTTCCTTCAGTTAGATCCCGTCGTTGTAACAAACCTGTTTAAAAAGGAGGATGTTATTTGTATGTGTTATCAATATGAACCAAAATCGATTCCATGCAAGAAGCATCATCATGGTCATCATCGGCACGTGATCTATCCACTGCTGGATGAATGCCTCGCCAAAATTCTTGTCATCCTTCACAGTCTTGTGGTGCAATACTCCATCGAGCTCGTGGGTATGGGCCACTCTCATCGCTCATCTCCGCAGTCGTTGTCTCCTCGAAGGTGAAGAACCCTCCCGAGGCTGCAACTTAATCTTCACCAGCCATTGTCCCTCCTAGCCATGTGTCCGGCCCAAGCAGTCTTACTTATCTGACCAAAAGTTGACTTGGAGCTTTCGTGACTGCAGGAATTACTCTTTGGTGCTTTCGGTAAAGTCACGTAGAAAGGAAAATAAATAAATAATAAAATACGACGCTTCTATTGCAACACAAGCAATCATCATCAGGTACAAATTAAAGACAAAACGAACCGAGTAAACTTAGAAATATAATGCAATACAACACAGAGAGTCGGCTAACATAACAGTCAACACCCTCACTGGTTGATTACGTTATTCTGACCAGTCAACACGATGTCTCTAATTTGCGTTTGCTCTCATAAATCATCCACGTGCTCCTCTTCCCCGTCTCTCAGAGCAATCCCGAGCGTGTGCCGCCCCATGCTGCTTTGAGCAATTTTCAGGTTGTCTCTCCGTTGTCAGTGTCCAACATTTCAGGTCCTGCTGTCGTTGCCTGTGATGTGCGCCGATTGACTGATATCTGCAAATTATCACGGGTTCCTGTTGCAGACGCGTGCGGTGCTACGTTCACGCGTCTGTCTGTCTGCCCGCGTTAGTAGCTGCCAGCCGAAAAGTATAAATAACGTAGGTGTCAGCGATCTACCCCACGCAGCGGAATGACAGGGGTCAACGATCGTCCGCCGAGGTGCCAGTGCTCTTGAACGTAATTGTCCTTCTTTCGGAAGCAATTATACAAATCAACGCGCTGGCCACCGCAAGATTTTAACCGATATAAATGCTGTCAAGTGGAGGCGGTGGTGCATGCGCGTGAGTGACTGAGCGGGGTTAATGTCATGTCGGCAAACTGAGCTGTCAGTCGACGTCTGGGGTGAAAACTTTGCGGCAGTGATAAACACGGCACTCTCTGTCTTAAATGCTTTGTGTGTGCGGTAAATCTGATGGTGTCAGCTAAGTTTGCCGTTAGATGTGTGAGACAAAAACTATTTTTAAACCTGACGCTTGCTTTTGATTTGGCGGAAATAGCTTTTGAGCATCGTGAAATGTCCACAGCGCAGACCTCTGCCGAGCCCAGTGAAAGCTTCAGTCTGGCTGCACGAATCAGGAGTATTATTACCAGTGCAGTATATTGGTGTTGCTGTATTCTCAAGATTCTATGATGTACTTTTGAAAAATGACCTCAAAGTTTGGGGGTGCATTGTATGTTCCAGAACATCTTGTAATCTGGAGAATATGGTACATGCATGTGAAATGTATGTATGTGTATGCATGTATGTATGTGTATGCATGTATGTATGTTTACATATACATACATTGTGGGGAGCGGTAGTGTAGCTGTTAGCGCGCTGCGCTATGAACCCGGCGACACGGGTTCGATTCCCGCTCACGGCCAACACCAGTGACGATTATCTTAACCGGTCCCGGGCCTCCCCTAGGTCGACTCAGCCTCAAGTGAGTACCTGGTGCAGTGTGTAAACATTGCCACTAGGGAGACAAAGGCGGTCGGGCGTGGTGCTGGCCACCCACCCCCTCGTGTACCATTACCGGCCCTCATAGGTGCTCGCTAACAGCACTTGCCCCTACAGTCTGTTAAGGCTATATGGGGGATCTTTGTCTTTGTCTTTTTGTATGTTTAACTTATTTCGCACCCTACGTAGCCAACCATGTTAATTGTAGGTGCGGGGGGAGGACAACAAACTAAACATAAAAAACAGTTCGCAGAAATTAGTTTTCTATCTAGATTTGAAAGTGCATAGCTCCAGTGGCTTACTAGGAAGAGGGATCCAGACCGTCGTTGTGAGGATGACTGGAGTTTGCGTGATGGTTTATGGTCCTTGACGAGATCAGCAAGATATTGTGGCAAGCATTTTGTGTGTCATGAGAATTGTATCCTGGGTCGTGATAATTTTTTAAATAAAATAAATAAGCAAACTTTTGTTTTACATCCGTCCATGTAAATATGAACTTATGTTTTAATCAATTCGGAATTCAGTCTTCCGGACTACGGTTAACCAGCAGCATTTGGTTCAGCGAGTAAACTCTGGACTGGTTTCAACCTCCTGGTCTTATCTTGCTAATTGCTACTGGGTTGTAAGCTGTAATATATTTTGTAAACAATCAATAAAAAGGCCTTCATTGAACAGTGGATTTATAAAGGGGCTGTAAATTACCATAACGCTTTGCAACAGGACAAAATGCGTTTTTCATACAACATTCTTACTTGAGATGATTTTTTGGAACAGGTTTCTCTTGCAATGTTATATTCACGATTCCTGCGTTTTTATTTTTTTAGACCGGGGGTACTATTCATCAACATTAATTAATGCAACGATGATTCAAAAATCACGCAGAGATCTTTAGCGTCAAGCAGTCATGGGGATGAGACAGTTGGCGTGGCATTGGGAACTTTTATACCTAAAGGAGAAGAGTTTTTTGTTTTTTTTAAATCAAAGCATTAGGGCGTGCATCACAACTTCGACTTGCTAATCTGCAGCCAACATGTGCAGGACTGCACAGTCGAGTCACGGACTCAAATGTAACGCTCAAAATATATGGTAATTGATAAACGCAGGGAAATGTTAGCGCAGTGTTTAAAACATTGGGCAATAATCGAGTGACTTAAGTTCGATTCCCAGCCAAGGCAAACATCAGTGGCGAGTGGCATTTACATCCAGCAAACGGCCTGGTAACATCCTCCACTGTCCAAACTGCCCAGGATGGTGAAGTATGGTCAGCAACCCTCATAACTGCCATGGCATGTGGAGGCCTTCATTTGGCAGTGGATTCATAAAGGGCCTGTACATGAAGATTGGCATCAATGTCTATACATGCATGCGTGGTTGTCAAGCTCACTAAAGTGCCAACACTGACGTCAAGTTTGATTGAATACTCCATCTTTCAATGATAAAAATATAATATACCAACCACATTCACGTTGTATATTATTCTACTGAAATGTAAAGTATGCAATAAGACACCACGTGTACTTTAATATCCGTTCTGGGAAAAAAGAGATAATTCTATATATTAAAATAACTATCCCAGTGCATTTCTTGAGAAATGACAGCTGGGAAAATTATATGTAGTCTCAGGATTAAGGTTGGATCAGGGGTCAAAACGGAGGGATTCAAGCTGTTGGAGAGCATTACACCAGAGCTTGCTGTGTGTGGACTTGGTGTGTTATTGAGATCGCCTGCCCCAAATTAGTCCATTCACCCACAACCAGTTTCCCCTGCACCTGCTCTGCACATCCGCTCGCTGTTCTGCATTTGTCTTTTTTGAAGACCCCCGTCAGGATATGGCGTTTCGATAAAATCAAAATAATAAACCCAACATGACCGCCAGTATTATGAGTGGGAAAACAAAATGTATTCGTTTTTTATGATGGATTCGCTTTTGAATGTGCTCTGTTTTTTAAGCGAAAGATAACGCTTCTGTTGTGCGAGCGTACACACTGCAGGTTTGACATTTGTGCAAAGGTAGTTAGTTTATCTCGTTTAACCAGGCGAGAACGCAGAAGATCGGGATAGCGTCATTTGACCCGGGTCACCGAAAAGACAAAGAGAGAATAAAACAAAATACAGCAAAGGAAATAAAACAAATCAGAGAAGAACAACCGTATTAAAAATGAGAAATCAAAATACTGCACGTATATATGTCAATATCAAATGTAATAACATTGCCTAGAATATAAGTTGACTGTAAAATTATTTCTAAAGCATTCGTAGTAATGCAATTCTGCAACCCTACCTGGGCATATATGATGTGTTAGCTCATGACCAATCAATACGCTATTGCAATATAAAGCCCATGTAGTACAATTGCGATTCCGTTTATTTTCAAATGTATAGTCTAATGTACCCGTTTCACTAAAGTAACCAGAACCAAACTGCTACTAAAATATTATGTTTAATATTTACTGCATTTGTGAAACAATCTTTTTCATAACTTAAATGCTGTTCTAAATATCAGAGTAAATCAAAACAAAGCAGATTTCAAACACATAACCAGACAGCCGCCGTCTGTTTATCCACATACAAATGCAGGTGTATGCAGACACATCTGTTTCAGCAAACACACACTAAGGCGCACTTGTGAAGGGAAGAGCAAATAAGATAGAGAGGGGTTTTTTTACGCGGTCTGGTGCACGTGGGTCTTCAGTGTGCATCGCGTAAGGGTTGCAGCACGTCACAATCAGAATCTTTATCCAGAATCAGAATCCTTATTTATCCTGGAGGATTCCGATAAGCGACGAAGCTCTTTTTCACCGATGTCCAGTGCGTAATTGTGCGGCGCGTGATTGAGCACTCTGCAAGCATATAGCGCACGCACCTGCAGTGTGCAGGACACGCAGGACGTAAGGCTGCTGCACTCAACTGGGTAAGCGCGCCTCGTGTGCCGGAGCACGTAATTGTGCAGCACCCAAGTGTGCAGCACACACAACCGCAGAGCGTGCTGTGCGAGTATACGCATGTAGCACCCTACGTGCAGCACTTAGTGTGCAGCACACATCAACTGCAGCGCTCACTGTGTTAGACACACACACACACACACGTGTGCAGCACGTCGGCGTGCAGCACACACAGACTGCGGTGCGCACTGAGTAAGCACACGAGAGTAAGCGTGCGTCGAGCGCGCCTCCTCTTCCCCGCTCGCTCACCCTGTAGTAGTCGGTGCTGTAGACGTCGCGCGACATGCCGAAGTCCCCGATCTTGACCACAAGCCCCGCGCCCACGAGGCAATTGCGCGTCGCCAGGTCTCGGTGCACGAAGTGCTGCGACGCCAGGTACGCCATGCCCGCTGCGATCTGGCTGCCCATGTTCAGCATCTGGGCCTGGCTGAGCAGCCGTGGCTCGGCCTGCGGGGCGTCCCCCATGAACACCGCGTCCGGGCCACGCAGCCTGGGATGCAAAACCCCCAAGGTTAGGGGCATTCTCCGTTCGTTGCAGAGATTCCGCGGTTCAAACTGCCACGGTGGCGAGATGTTAACTACCTCGCCCGGTATACAAGAGGTCTTGGCTTTGATCCCGAGTCTGACGCATGCTGTATATTTGGAATTTGCGTGTCTCTCTCTCCCCGTGGTCGCGTGGATTTTTCTGCGGGTACTCCGGTTTTTTCCCTCCACATTTAGAATCAGCATCACGCGTTTAGAGTATTTGGCTGCTATACATCTACACATGATAAGCCACTTCGTTGAGCGATCATTTGTGGCTGGGTCGCTTCTGAAAAAGAGCTACGTAGCTCAGTGGGCCAAGCCCGGCAAAATAAAAAATAATTTAGTTTCTAAATCAAGCAACCGCCCGGGTCAATACCGCCGGTGCATTAACTGTAGCAATACACACCGTCTGTCTCACTTCACAGTGGACGTTCAAGATCCTGTGACGCCATTCGCAATAGTGGGCCATTTGTGTGCCAGCATCATGGTCAAAATTATATTTTTTTATTCAAATTTTTTTCGGAAACCTCTCAATTTATAAAGAGCAATAATCGTCCCCTACTGTGAAAACTTGACAAAGAATTACGAGACTCAGTGAGGCTTTCCTGGATCAATAAGAATAATAATACAAATAGTAAAACGTGACTGCGGTTATTAGTGATGCCCTGGAACGTTGGTATCACCGTGGGGCTGAGTAGTAGAGCATCTGTCTCTTGTTTCAGAGCCTACCGGCTGGCCTGGTTAATACTGCGGATGTGTGAACCAGATAAACATGTGCTGTGTACTTCACAGTGGACATTAGAGACCCCATAAGGGTATTCGACTCTGCTCGTCTGAAACATTGTGTCTGCGATATAGCCTTGGAGTATACGTTAGGTGCAAATGCAACATGCACTGTGCTATTGCTTCAATTTGAACGAGCCTCTTGCCAAGACTGTTTGTGTTGTCACCCCACCATTGCTATGTTTAGTAGCTTGCACAACTTTTCTTGATGACAAGAAGGTAACAAAGGCATAGCGTGGTTTGGCTCCTGTAATTATACTATTTTTTTGCCCATGTTGTATGGGGAGTGGCGGTATAGTGGTAAGGACACCGTACTATCAACCTGGTGATTGGAATTGAATTCCCAGCCATGCAAAACATCGGCGGTGAATGGTATGAACACTAATTCTGGACGCCTTCACCAACCCACAATGACCAGCGTGGTGAAGTATGGTCAAACGATCCTCATGAGCGACATGCCACGTGGAAGCCTCCATCTATCAGTGGATTGACAAAGGGCTGTGAAAGCTGGCCCATGAAAACCTCACAAAGCTCAATTCCGGGAAGATTCTGCTTGGATCTGAATCCAATTTCCCGATTGAGAATTTTTCCCTTTGTGTGCATTAATGGAATTATTAAATCCATCGTTCACCTACTATATATACAATCGGAGTAAAATACGCTTCTGAACGTAAGACAAATGTTTTTTTTATCTTGTAGCATGATTGTTCTGCTCTGACTTTAGTCGTATTTCCCTGCAGGAAATACTCATATTGGTGAGCCAGGTCACTCTTGCAAACGAGACTCACGTCATGGTCTCTTGAGTTGTCACCTGGCTAAAAAGAAAAGTTAACTGCAGTCCACTGAAACGAAAAGCCACGCAGGTTTAGAAACTGTACGGCCAAATGGAAGTTTCAAAAGCTGCCCGCATTGTCGGGGCGTGGGGGGGGGGTGTTGTTGAAACGTACATTTGGATCGTTTAGATTATTTGGCTGCTATAAATGTCCACGTGACAAGCCACTACGCTCAGCTATGATTTGTCGCCAGGACGCTTCTGAAAAATACGCTCATAGCTCAGTGGGCTTTACCTGCTAAAATAAACGAAGATATATACTGCATAGTGATTTGCATACCTTTCCTATACTTTGCACACCTACAGTGTTTTCCCAACGTTGTAACTTTCTGACCCGCCCCCAGACTGGGCATCTGTTAAAAAAAGAGCTTTATCGCTCATCAGATTCCCCCGGTATCAATGAACATTCCGATTCTGTTATCGCATTCGTCGAGAAGGTCGCACCTGAGGAACTTGTTGAGGTCGCCGTTCTTCATGTACTCGAACACCATGATCAGGGGTTCCCCCTCCACGCAGACGCCGTAGAATCGCACGATGTGCTCGTGCTGCAGGTTCGTGAGAAGCTCCGCCTCACGGTAGAAGTCCTTCCGAGCCCCATCGCTCAGGTCCTTCAGAGTCTGCCCAGCGGCGAGAGTTTTTGTTTTTCTTTAGTCGCGACAAAAGCAACACATTGAACGACGGCGACGACAACAACGAACCTCCGATTTCCCCCCGCATGCACGTACGCATGTTGAACGTCTTTCGCATGTTGAACATACGCATGTTGAACGTACGCATGTTGAACGTACGCATGTTGAACGTCTTTCGCATGTTGAACATACGCATGTTGAACGTACGCATGTTGAACGTACGCATGTTGAACGTACGCATGTTGAACATACGCATGTTGAACGTACGCATGTTGAACGTACGCATGTTGAACATCTTACGCATGTTGAACGTACGCATGTTGAACGTACGCACGTTGAACGTACGCATGTTGAACGTCTTTCGCATGTTGAACGTACGCATGTTGAACATACGCATGTTTAACGTACGCATGTTGAACATCTTACGCATGTTGAACGTACGCATGTTGAACGTACGCATGTTGAACGTCTTTCGCACGTTGAACGTCTTTCGCACCGCACACAGCCGACCGCGCTAACTGGAGGCGATAATCGGAGGTGCGCACCTTTCAACTGGCACAGTTGGCTACGTACGGTGCGAAAGAAGTTCAACGTGCACACATATTGAACGCGGCAATAAACAACAGCAAGCGAACAACATTATCAATGGCAAAAAACATCAACAGGAACAAACTACCACAGCGGACATGGCGCCCAAATGCCGTCACGTCTTATGATGCTTAACGACAGTACAACAATGAAGTACGTGAAGGGTAGAAGAAGATCTGGGGAGTCGGGCCAGGAGAACAAACTCTAAATAATATTTTATGACTTTCATTGAACTGACCAAGATCCTAATGGAATTATGATTTCTTATCACACAGTGAGATGTTGATGGATGCGTGTAGATCATAAATACAGTTTTTTTCACTTTTAAATTATTATCCAACACTTTCATCAATTGGGATTTAAGCTATGACACCCTAACACAACACTGGCTTCGAAAAAGATAGAATTGCCAGTGTCTCTTTTCTATTTATACGGAACAGATTAGCAATCCAAGTGTCCTGCGTGCTGTTCGGCATCTGATGTTTCACTCCACGTTCTGGGGGCCTTTTTCGCGAACTGGATATTTCATTCGTGCCGAATCACACGCAGGATACAACCAGTAAACACATCAGCGATCTCATACAGCACAACCGCCGACACACCGCGCAAATCACTGCTCACTTCCAGGAACAGAATTGTTTTAAGCCATCCGAAATGGAGGCTGAACGTTCCACACGTTACAACGGCAGCAACTCTCGTGATACCGCGCACGTGTTTGTAATTACCCGCGAAGAACGATGCGTTTTATGGAAGACTCTCATTACATTTGCCATTGGGGTTTGACTTTATCCAAAGCCTGGCCATTGTTCAGTCCTGGCTGATGCAAGTGAGTATTGTTACTGCCAGCAAGCTCCTGGCTGCTTTTAGCACTCATTGCTTTGGTCGCCTGCCGTGGAAACAAGACGTTGTCTCGGCACGTCTCGCAAATGCCAATTGTGGAATGCAACATTGTCGAATCTAACATCGTCGAATAAAAAAAAACGGAATTTCTGATGCCTCCTATGGGATTTTCTTTAACCCAGTGTTAATATAGTCAGCGTTTTCATTGTATTTTAGTCATAGTCTAAATCTAGTTAATAACAACCTGTGGATGTTTATTTGAGTCTTCGTCTGTGGATTCCATTTAGTCGTTCTCTTAATCCAGTCAACATTTAGTCAAACACTCTTAGTTATAAATGTTGGTGTGAGTGGAATGTAATTTGCCCCCTCCAATATTATCAGGAGACAGCTGTCATTTTAATATTCTTGTCACGATTCTGTAACCAAAGCACTAAAACTAATCTGGTTTTAAAGTAATACATTGTCAAGGTAATATGTATTGTGAGTTTTTATTTTAATATTCTCGATAATTTAAACAATATGCTGGCGAAATAATTACATTAACAGGAACATCAATTGAAAAGTTAGGGCAACCGTGTTCGCCTACTGTTCGGTGTTGCAATCTATTACACGTCTTCCACCGTTTCAAGTCAATTAAATGTTTATTTGTTACACAGGAAAATCCCGTGTAGCCAGTTACCCAACTAGTTGTTTCGGTTGCAACGGCCCCGCAGCCACTAACAACAGAGTTATAGTGAGCATGTAAATGCTCACCCCGAGCCCTCAATACTCTGATAGTGCGCTGTTTTTGAGTTGTACGCCTTTTGGCGTCTTCTGGTCCAACACAAATGGAGACTAGGCTCTAAGAAAAGCCGTCTCGGGTGTGGACCAATCAAATTCAAGGACAGTGCATATTATTATCAGAGTTGTCTCTTTTGTTTGCATTTTGACTGCTTGTATTGTGGTTATTGCAAACATGATGCCTTGAATAAAGGTGTCAGTTTTTTTGTGCCAGTTAAAAGGGTAAAACCTATTTCTATAAACAGAGATATTGTTGAGGGTTGAGAGGAGCCCAGCCAGGAGCCAGCCAGGAAACTCGACGCATATAATATATATTTGTAATCATAGTGTGAGAGAGATATATCTATCGTATTACCAGTTTTGGTCTTTCTTCGAGCACTGCAGCATCCAATAACGTTCCTACCACCGTAGTTACTTATCGTCGTGATCAGCCAAGCTTAGTTCATAGGTGGCGGTCGCAGTCCTTATCGCGACCCCGTAACTTCCCTTCGCTTGCAGACGTCGTTGGCTAAAAATAAAATAAATAAGGCCTTCACTGAAGATTATTTTCGTCGCTAATTCTGTTCGCAAGATTAACACTGCCGTGATGCGATTGTGCACGGAGCGCGTTGAGGCGATTGAGCGATTCTCTGTGAACACGTGGCTTGTGGTCTGTTGGTGGTCTGCGATGCCGTGGAAAAGTAGTCTTTGGCGCTGTTCCATGTAAAATACTTTTTTAAAAAATGTTTTTGCTCGTACATGTTAATTTTACTATTGTAGTGGGCCTGTTAATGTGTGCATCCGCTCATAGGGTTTTAGTTTCATATTAATAAATACATGGGACCCTTCACCGTGAGTTTGTATACATGCACCATCCACATCAAAGCTACACATGATACTGTTAATCCACGAATACGCTTTCAGATAATAAACTATACATGTGATTGTCAGGAAATGTAGTTCTTAGGAAACATATTGTAATTGGGTGCATATATCGCGCATTTTTGTTAATCCACGGCTGGATTAAGTCCTCCCCCGCACCATACGACTTTACCACGCCGGTCAATGCGGTGAAGGCGTGGAGCAGTAGCGTCACAGTGCAACAGTCCGAGACACAGCACAGCCTCGAAACTACCGATGACAACCCGGCACGCACGCACGGTGGTTGTCCATCCAAGCATTATCCAAGCTCAAACCTGCTTAGCTTCGGAGACATGACCGAGATTGGGCGCATTCCCTGTCAATCTTGTTGGTAATATTTCAGAAATGACGTTTATTAAAAGCGCCAGGTGCTCGTGCCTTGTAGTACAGTGCTGTAAAGGAGACTTGATTAGAATGAGGTTGGAAGCGATGCTGCCGCGTACGACTGCTGCTGTGGTTATAACTCTTCCCTGCCCTGGGATCGGAGCGCGGGGCACTTTGTGCCACTACTGTTTGTTCGCTGTTCGCGAGCAGCTGCAGACGGGAGGAGCCGACAGTGTCTCCACTCTGCCTAATAGGGGTGGGGGTGCAGGGTTGGCTGGAGCAGTGACAGCGTCTCGCTGGTTGATGGACGCGGAGCTGTGTTGTGGGCCGCGGTTACGGGATTGCACCTGTGGCGCAGCGTTGCAAATGGGCACACGAGTATCCAAAATCCTTTGACACGATCTTTCGATTCGCCATCGTTGCTCAAATAAACAGAGCCAAAACGTGCGTGCGTGTGTTTTCACTCCAATCGGAAAGGAAACGTAATCCAAAAATAAGAGACCGCCATTACGTACATGAAACATTCTACTAAATCTACCGAATTTTATTCAGAATTCTGCCAGCGTCCGGATGGGGCACGCGGTGTATCTTTCTTACTGCCCGGTTCTAAGAGCGTGCGTACATCATTCTGGCTATTTTACATTCGGTCCTCTTTATTGTTTTCATTAAAAGGGTTCATGCGGTGGCTTTCAGATGCCTCAAATGGTATTTTAAGTAGGGGTAATCAGATTTGTATTGCCTTTTTTGTATCAGTGCCACAGTAAGTGTATTGGGTATACCATATCGCTATAATAAAAATGTTTGTTTTGTCAGACTTCTGTTGACAGATGTTGTTTGTCTATGGTACTCTATTTTTTTGAGAAAGTTCACCGAGTGAATTGCATGGTTATAGTTTGATTCCCAGACACGGATAACATTCGTACTATCCAGCGCAGTGAAGTATGGTCAAACAATCCCCATGAACAACACAGCACGGGTAGGTCTTTATCCAGCAGTGGATTGACAAAAGGCTGTAAAATGTTATATTTGTCATCATAATCAAGCCAAGTTTATTTGCTTAACCAGATTGATCTGGGTAAGGTATGGCAAAGTGGTATGCCCATTTGTCCCATATGAACATTCTTTTGTATTTTCCACTAATCTTGTTTATTTGAAATGTCAGTGGAAATGATTACCTGGGAAAGTGACCGGGAATTAAACTGTTGCAGAAAAATGTCAAATGCCTTTATTTGGGGGAAATATTTTCGTTAACGGGAACAGTCACATGCAGTGTCTCAACCAAATAAACCCAATCATTTGTAACAATACACACAGTATGTCCAAGAACATGCTGTTTGTTTAACAGTGACTTTGTTGTGTTGTCATCAGTTTTGTTAGGGGGAGAACGTTCAGGATGACAAAGCGGCCGGTCGGCTATATATTGGATCGCAAGAATGCTAACGGTCATCATGCCTTGCTTTTGTTTGCGAAGCAGTGCTCTGAAGCCTGACAGATATCCAAAATGGATGTTGACTTGCTAGCCACAATGTCTGGAATAACAACAAAGCAGGGGGTGGTGGGAAAGATACTCCCACAGAAAACCAAATAAATAAATGGATGTAATTTAGTTTAGAAAAAATAAGACCAGCGTAAAAAAATGCAAATTTCGAAAAAATGTATCATGTGTCTCTCCAGCATCAATATGCAGGTCTGTGAGTACACATCCATGTTTATCTGTTGTGTGTGTATTATTGTGTCCTGTGTTTTTATTTGTGCTCAGCAAAAAGTGGTCAAATTTAGTACCCACCAAGACATTCTAAATATTTACAACAGCACACTTATCCATTTCAGCATATGGTGTCGATGTATTTACATTAATTCTCAGCTCGTATGATCATATGAACCCTCTGTTATACTAAGACGCCACTTCTCAGGGATCCAAGGGCAGAGGTCAGAGGTTGTGCATGGAATTGGACCTGTTCATAAAACGTTTTTCTTGATGGATCATGTGCTGGGCTCCTGCGCCAAATGTGCTTCGTCTCAGAGTATTCGAGATACCTTTAGAGAATTGTGTCAATGAGGAGTACTTCGTGTATTGCATCCGAACAGGAAGTTCTGAGTGTGTTTTGTCGTCGTGTGTAGTTTATGACGAATTGTCTCATTGTTTGGATTCCTCAAGCAAAGAAAACCCCAGAGCAGCAGGAGAAGAGATTATTTTTATGATTTAGAATTGTTTTATGATTATACTTGTTCACCCAGTTATCAAGGAAAACCTCACTAAGTCTCAATACTATTTTTCAGGAGGACCCTGCCCAAATTTCAGGAGGACCCTCCTGCTATGTGTCATCACAATTGAGTAATTTATCGGTAATTCTTCAGCATTGGGATGTTTAGCCGATACCAATTGCATTGCATGTTTTAGCTTATGGGAGGAAACTGGAAAATCTGGAGGAAAATCGAGCAGAACCGGGGGAGAACGTACAAAACTCCACGCAGAAAGGCGCTTGAGTTGGCAATTAAACCCAAGCCCTTCTTGCTGTGAGGCACAAATGTTACCATTGCGCGACCCTGCCCCGCCCTGTAGATAAACGATCGATTAGTCAGTAGTAACAAGTTGTGTGTAAAGCAGACTCTCTCCATTCAAAGTGTTCGTGCCAAGCGCCATTCTCGGCACGCATGTCAGCGCGTGTGCTTGTGCAAACCGCGGTGACGGGAGCCCATTGTAGCGCAGGCAAGAGCGCGCGGTGCCTCCACGCGACTCGTTGTGGTGGGGAAAAATCTGGCAAGGGAGCACCCCTCTGGCGGTGGGCTCACCTTTGCGGCGACGAGCATCGGCTCCTGGCCGACGTCCAGGCTGGAGCACTCGGCCAAGTACACCTTGCCGAAGGCACCCTCCCCCAGCTCGCACATCAACGCGATGTCCTGCCGCTTGATGTGCGGCACAACTGGGGCGTGCAGGGAGGAGGATGGAGGCGGATGAACAGACAGACGTAGACAATTGTGAGCACGAGCTCACACGGTCGTGTGTGCGCGTGCGCGTGTGTGCGTATATATTGTATGTGAAAATAAGGAACGAATAATAGCTTTGCAATATTCATGACATGCGATTCTGCTCTGGACTAATTGTCACCCTGCCAAGTTTATTGAAATGCTAAATGCAGCTTCGCTTGAACATCAATAATTGGCACCACAACACACGTGGCTTGGCTTGCAAGGCGTGCATCCACAGTAGTTACAATGGCCTTAGTCGTTGACGTGTGCACAAGATGAACTGCTTTTTGCATGACACATTGCCTTTTGTGGTAAACCAGGCTAAACCATTAGCTCTCATTAAGTAACCTCACAATAGTGCTGTAATTCCCACCAGCGTAAAAAAAAAATCGAGTGGAGGTCGAGTTACGTCTTAAAGTTGTGTGCTGTTTGTGTGTTGCTTGTGGGTTGAAAGGTTGTGTGGGGAATACAAAAAAAAAGAGTGGCTTGATCTCACGGACCTTACGAGTGGGATTTCTGTGGCCACGGCCTAATTGTGCGAGTTAAGGGAAAGGCCCCCTGTAGGTCTCACCCAGGCTGACCCATGCAGCCTCAGCAGTCTGGCCCCAGAGCCCTTTTCCCCCCCAAGCCCAAAGCCCCCAAAGCCTCAACCCTTAATCAATGGCTGTGGGCCCGTTAAACCACATCCCTGGGCTCTCCAGTCTGTACCTGCCACAGTTGCTCAAGGTTGTGGGGCATATACACGTTACGTGTCACCACTTGATTCTCAGCAAAAGGAGCTGCGGCATTGAATTGCTGTTTTTGGGAAAAAAAGCGCACTTAAAAAAAAAGTCGGAACAAGATATCGTTGTTGGGTTTGTAAATCCAAATCTGGACGATCGCCTCCCCATCCTATGTTGTCCTGGAAGATGTACCATACTTCAACAAACTGATCAGTAGTCACATTTTTTTTTAAATTTGCGTTAGATCGCGTAAGCATGAACGTGTCGTTAAACCCCCCACCAATTAGTAAGGTTTGTCACGTAAACAAAACGACACGTTTTATATTTACGCGATCTAACCCAACACCCACCCCCCTTTTGTTATTGACATATATTGGTCACGAAAGCTTACGACGCGTTGAACGGACGGCTCGGTTGTAGGTTGCTGAAGTTGCTGGCCGGTGGCTAGCAACACTCGCCGCTGATGTTCATTGCAACCAGGAAATGAAAGTCGCGGTGTGGTTTGGTTTTAGAGTGCAGTGGACGAAGCGCCTCGCGCACTGCTCCATCCCACAAAGACGCCGTGGACTTTCTTGATAATATGTTTAATTGGTAATAATCCGGTAAATTGTGGGTCAGTGTGAACTTTGACATCTCAAACTAATTTTGAACCTTCCAGCATACGTGTGCAGTGTATTTAAAAAAAAAACAATTCTAGCGCCTACCGTCCGAAGCCTAATTAAAAATAAAAGCTTTTGCGCACATTGCCAGATATTTCAGGGAGCTAACGAACAGTGCGCATGCGAATGGTGTGCGTTTGCCTTGCAAAAAAAAATACTCACAACTCAACAGTCATTAGTCGCAAACGCTGGCTCATAATGTGTTAATTAGAGATGCGGAGCTTGTTATCACAGAGACCGCAAGCACGGTGCCATGCAGTCTGACGCGTGCGCTATTGTGAGGCTGGTGGAAAGTGCCAGGCTGTCGGGGATGTTTAATCACGGCTGTATCAGCTACCAGGGCGAGAGGCGCGCGTGCGCCGATGTAAAATAAATTACGTCTCAAAACCTGTTGGTTTCTTTTGCCTTGCGATATAACTCGGGTTTACATTAAAGCCATCGCCTTCATTGTTGTTAACGCAAAAAAGCATACTCGAGGGTTTGCTGACCAGTTATTTTGAATCACCGTTGTTGATTGATAGTTGTTATTACTGAAAAGCTATTTTTTTAGAGATAGATTTTTCTCGACAAAGCGTTCAATATACACTTAAAAAGAGTTCACTTTATAAAAGAACCGCCACCTTTTAAGCACTCACGTTCAACCAAACTCCAAAAAGTTGCAACCACATTTTTTAAAAATGCGATGTCCTACTTGATCCATGCCACGATCACACCGACATGTATACATTGTTTTGGTTAATTTCACATTCCTAAGGATCATCAAGTAAACCAGTGGGTTATTAATAATGATTCCTCTTCACCCGCATCCATTATTACAAGAAATATCAGAATCTTTATCAGAATCCTCGACTGCAGGAGGAATTGGATGAGCTATGAAGCTATTTTTCACAGATGCCCAGTATGGGTTCGTCAGCAAGTTACAAAGGGGCAAGCAAGTCACTAAATGTAATTTTTTTTATTAAATTGAAGAAGTCCGATTTATCAAGCTTGGGGAAGGCAGCTAAACAACAAAACAGTCCCAGACCACGCCAAGATAACACGAAATATTTATGCACGTGGAATATAAGATCTCTCGAACGCTCAGCAAAGTCGATGCAATCGCGTGTGTTCGGGCGTGCGTGTGCCTGTACGTCCCTGTGAAGCTGTGTGTGCGTCGGCTTTTTAGCTTGTGCAACGTGAACGTCACTTAAATGCACGTCATGAATTTAAAAAAATACATTCACTCCGCACCAGAAAATCTTGATGCAAAAGGTCCCATGGCGTGTGACAGTTTTTTTGTGATGATTTATGAATTTGAAATAAAAACTTGAGAGCCCTTGGCTCTGGTCCCTCTGCCCTCTGATTGACTTGCCAGTCTGCTAAGCACATCATATGCATTTGTAAATTAAAATTATGGCATTAAGTCTGAGCAGTGCCTGTGTATCTGCCTGATGCAAAGCCCTTGACGCAGATGTGCCTTTTACGTTACATTAATTTATATCAGGAATTTCGGTATGAATCTACCCTTCAGGTGCACGTCGCCTCCTTATTACTCTTCTATCGCTACTACCGCGGTTACTGTTCCCGTGAACTTCACTAAGCGGTTGCACTGTTTAACCACCACAGTGTGGCTCACAGCAACGCACTCACCCGCCGCACAGCAGCTCACAACACACCTTTCCGCTTATTCCCATGCATTGCACGAATTTGGAATTCCCTCCCATAATCTCCTATCACCAAGTTTGTACAACTTTGCTAAAATTAAACAAACGTATCAACTGTTTCCCTCTTACACCTTCTCGCTTGCTGCGCGCATGCACGCGTCCGACAAACTCACACATGTGCGCGTCCTTGCCGGGGCCCAGCGAGTCGCTGAAGTACTGCGGATTCTCGATGACGGGGATGCGCGTCATGCCGATGAGCACCGTGTCAGAGCCGCCGTCGCCGGACGACACGGAGCCGCCGCTGCCGTGAGCCACGTGGTGCAGGGGACTCGCGGAGTCCTCCTCGCCCACCACCATGCTGGAGCCTGGGCGGGCGAGCCGGGGTTTGGGACGGCGGGGAAGGGGGCAAACGCGCACCCGGGGGGGAACAGGGTTGGAGGGGTAGGACCGGGGAGGCGAGGGGTGATGGAAGGGGAGCGGTTTGGGGCAGAGGCAACCCACTGGGTGTATCGCCAGGTGGATGTAAAGGTGCAACCGTGGCGGCAGGAGATGCGGGATAATTTATCGGTCATCTCCTCCCAGAGTGACGTGATTCCACTTTGCAGGCGGTTTCCAAGCGCAGTTGCTGCATCGGCAGTTGATTAGTCAAACTGTGCCTTCATGGCGTGATGGGGAACACTTTAGAGATAGTAGGGAATGCAGTGATTCAGTTCTGCTAGGCTAGGCATGGACTAAAACATGAGAATGCTCTTGAAACACAGCATTAATGTATTCCTTAAATCACTGGACATCTGTGAAAGCATTGGACATCTGTGAAAAAGAGCTTCATAGCTCATAGAATTTATCCAGGATAATTAAAGATCCTGTTTATGGTACTTCTAGAGGACAATGCGTTCATGCTAATTTCAAAGCCGTAATTAGATGAAAGGGAGGCAACATCAATGGCTAATGACCGAGGCCATGGCTATTCTGCACTAATGTTGACCTCCTGTTACTCTCAGTCTCTCTATGGTTATTAGTACTAATTATCATTAGCCATGGCTAGGTGGTCCAGAGGTTTAACCTGATCAAGTACAAATTCCCTTGGCAAAACCTCTGAGCATCATACTATATTAGAATAAAGTGTCATGGCTGGCTTCCTGCCTGGATTCCTGGCTGCGTTGCGTGCGTGCTGACATCACACCCTCCCTCCCAGCCGTAGCACTCGCGCAAATGCGACAGAGATAGACAGGAGGTGAGGGAGTGGGATGGGGAAGCGAGATAGAGAAGAGAGGTGAGGGATGGAGATACATAATGGAGTTGAGGGAGCGAAATACAGGAGGAAGGAAGAGAGGGAGCGCAGAGGAGTAAGGAGAGTGAAAGGCCAAGAAAGGAGAGGCAAGACAGAGGGAGAGGTAGAAGAGAGGACAGAGCAATAGATAAATAAATACATGTAAACGGACAAAGCCAGAAAGTTAGATGAGTTGGGATATACAGTACAGAGAAGGCAAGAAAGAGGTGGAGAGAGATAGGGCTTTATATAATATTCAAAGTTTTCCTGGCTGGCCGGAGGGATGGTCACGTCCAAAGGACATGTAGGCTGCTAGTCTGGTTAAATATTTCACCCTCCGCTTGCTGGGCAATGTTAAATACTATAAGTACTGAATCAATCGGGGGATATTTTATCCCAACATTATGAACATACTTTTCTGCTTAGAGGAACAGGACCTAATAACGCAACGCAAAGTAGAATTTATATGAGATATAAAATCCCACCAAGTTTAATTTACCCACCACCTAAAAGTGAATAAATTAGTTGTAATTGTGACATGGCTATTTGGTTGTTGTTGTTGTTGTTCTGGTGTTGCGCTGTGCCGGATGACAGAAATAATTGTCTCTTTGTGCCGGCATCGTCTCCTTGCGATCGAAGAGAACATCTCATCAGGAGGTTGGCATTAACGCTGAGCTCTTGGGGACGATGCTGTCCGTGCAGCAAGGGGATGGATTCCTCACAGGAAGGCCGTGGGAACTGTTGACGAGCGGGGGGGCCCCCCGTGGCTCAAGTGGATCGGCGGGCTGCGGCGGCGAGGGTTAGTGGGAGGTGATGTCTACGGGTGATGGGGGTCAACCCCTGTTTCCCGTCACCGTCCCATTCAGCACCAGAATGGTGTTGGCAGTTGCACAAGGATGTGTGTGTGTGGGAGGGCTCACCAAACGACGGAGCACAGAGCCTCCTTGTCCTTGTCGGAACTACGGAAGCTTTCAAAGTAGAGCTGCGCCCTAAATACTAATCAACCTTTCCACAAGGCTGCAACAAAACCTAGCTTTTATACTGTTGAGAAATTGACCTTTGGATTCCTAATTCTGTTTTCTTCCAAAATACTTGTTTTTATTATTATTATTGGTTTTTTTTGTTTTAGCAATTTGATTCAACAGCCTGTTAGACCCTCTGAATTCTAATGAAAGTTCTGGGGGGAAAATTTTTACTCTTTCCGTTTTCAATCGCGAGTGCCGTATAATGATATACAGCGACGTGAAAGAAGAGGGCACTTCAATAGGTACAGACACTTAATGGTGTTGTAACCTGTCAGTGTGATTTCAGTAAAAATTGCATCGTGAATGGGGCTTGACCCTCGTGCTGATGTGCAATATTATTCTTTGAGATTTACAGGATATGTGAGAGAAGATGACGACGACACCCATACGCAACTTGCACGAGGTGTTATTTGTCGCATCTCCTGACGGTGGACATGTGAGTCAAAGCGATCGCGGCATAAAGCTGCACCTAGGCAACGTTTAGAAATGGGTGTTTTTGTTGCTGTTGCATGTGAGCATGTTTGTGAAGATGACAGAGTGGGGAGCGGTGGCGGAGTGGGCTATGAACCTGGCGACTCTCGAGTCGATTCCCGCTCAAGACCAATAACAGTGGCGAATATTTGAACCAGTACCTGGGCATCCCCTAGGTCGACTCGGCCTCAAACGAGTATCTCGTGCGGTGTGTAAACATCAGCACTGGGGAGACAAAGGCCGCCGGGCATGGTGTCGGCCACCCACCCCCCTCGTGTTACCGCGCCGGCCTTTGTAGGTGTTCGCTGAACAGTCTCTGAAAGGGTAGATGAGGGATCTTTGTCTTTGAGGATGACAGAAGTGGCAGGCAAAGCTGAAGCTTTAAACATCGCATTCGGGTGAAGTCATTTGTATTCTTGGCCCGTGCTCAGCGACGTTGGGGAACGTTTGAGAATTCTTTTGAAAAGGGCAGCAACCGTGGGGGTAGGCTGGGCAGCTGGGTTTGAGCTCTCCTGTTCGGGAGAGCAAGGTGGCACGGTCCTTAAATCTGACACGAGCAGAGGCTGCCGAAAGCCGTTTCACTCTGGCGACTCCAGGAGGATTTACTCGTGCGTTACGTTCGACGGCCAACGCGTCTTTCACCCACGCAGGCACTGCAGTCCCGTGACACAAAGCCATCGCTTCAATGTAACACAGATAATTTGCTACAAATCCGCAGCTGTGAAGGGTTTCATAAATAAGCAATGAAGGCAAAAAAGGAAAAGGGATGGCTTCAATTAAGCGGTCCCGCTGACCTCCGAATGAAGTTACAATGAAAAGCTTTGGTGCAAAAGTACTGAGCTGGACAAGTGATGCAGTTTCTTCCCTCGGACAATATTATGTTAGTGGCCATGGAATAGTTGCTCGCTGCGTCAGTGTTTTCATAGTGAATATAAATAAAATGTAAAACAATGTTGGTGCGATGTAAAGGGTTGCTGATCAAGGCAAATTATTAAAAGCTGCCAGGCAATTTATATTTGTTCCCTGCCAAAACAGTCACGATTTGCTGTCAGCCTGGCTAAATGTAATGGAGTCATTTTCCTTTGCGCAGCTCCGATATTATATAAGCGTGTGCGTTGCTAATGCATTGTTGTGTTGTTTATTAATGCAATGTTTTCTGGATTTTAGTATTTTTATTTTTTATTTTATAATAGGTATGTTGCAAAATGGTACCCATGTAATGGACAATAACTTTTCTGGGATTTCTCTGCACAAGAACAACGCAATCAGTGTTCGACTGCCAGCATTGGTTGCAATGCAAAACGTGAAAACGTTTGTACTGTTATTAGTGTGCACACCACACCTTGCTTTTCTGTTACGCTTTCGAAGTGATTGTTGAATGGCTTCATTTCACCTATGCATACCAATATGCACGGGTAGTACACATTGAAGCCTGGGTAGAGAAAGTATCCAGTTTCTTCCACGCAGAATTGAGCCATATTGATGGTAACTCAACATTTTGAATGGATTCATTATTTTGATTGTGTTCAACTAACAATGAATTATGATGACCTTTTATAGGGACATCAATGCCTTTAAATGTGCCATGATTATACACTCGATCCTGTTTACAGATTGCACAGATTTTTTTTACTGCAGAATTTTGCCAGCACGTTCCTCCAAATCAGCAAAGGTCATTGGTGCTGCTACCACATTGAAAACGTGGGGAGCGACTAAGTATCTCGGTGGATTTTCTTAACGTCTCGTACTTTGCAATTCGCAAAAGCCAGGAACGTTGAACTTATTTCATAGCAATTTTTGTTCAAATATATTAGGATCCTCTATAGCCCTTTGCCAATTCACTGCGGGATGAGGGTCTCTCCGTGCTATGCGGGTCATGTGGGTTATTTGACCATACTTCACCGTGTTGGTAAGGGTTGGTAAAGGGGGTGTGCCCAAGAGCGGTTCAGATATCACTCGTCACCGACTTAAGCCATGACCACGAATGGCACTCAGGTGCCCAGGTTTAAAGTGCTATTGCACTAACCGCTGCGCCAAGGCAATGTAATGTTGAACAGGAAAACAATATCTACCAATATGAAGTTCACAGCATTCTACCATAAATCTCCGCACGATAACAGCGTGTCACGTCAGTGACTAACTAAATCTTACACAAGCTGAATATCAATATAAATATCATGATTCACAGTGCTTTTGTGTCCTTTGCACAGTCATCTTGCCATTCCATTAGCTCCAGTTAAACCTTTGCGCGCAGTGTCAAGCATGCATCGTCTCATCCTACTGTAACCATTAACCATTCCTATTGCATATTTAAGTCATTACCGCGTATTGATTGACACCCTCCTCCGAATTTGAGCGTAAATATTTTTTCCGCAGATTGTCACTCTCATTAACTCCTGTTTATGTTCGAGGGAAATTAACCTCTTGGCCCACAATCACGGAGCGATTGCAGCAGAGAAACGATCTCCACAGCCACTCCACCCTCTCCCCCCCTCCCGCTGCTGCCCCTCCGTTTAACCTTGATGGGGCTGCCGAGTGGTTGTCGTTGCTGACTCTCAGAAATTCAAGCTCCCGGCAGTGGTTGAGCCTCTGCCTTACG